TTTTTTTTTTTCTTGTAGTGTTAGCAGAATTTGCAACAAGCTAACACTAGAGAGTGGTAGTGTGGACTATTATTATGAACAGATGGGATTCCAATGGGCAGAGTTGAGTTGTTTGCCTAATTCTCTGTGCAATGTTGTTGTTGTTGTTGTTGTTGTTGTTGTTGTTGTTGTTTAAAGAAAAAAGCAGTCCTGGACATGGTTCCACAGTGTAGTGGTGCTTTACACTCAGAAGGTCCTGGATTCACACCCCAGTGGAGCTACAGTCTATGGTCTATGGCCATGCCACCCTGAACAAGCCTGATGTCTGATCTTGGAAGCTAAGCAGGGTTGGGCCTGGTTAGTACTTGAATGGGAGACCACCAGATATAAATAATAATAAATAATTTTTTAAAAAGAAGAAAAGAAAAAGCAGTCCTTCTCAAATTCCATTAAAAATATAGTAAAGATTTTCAAAAAGAACTAAATCCATTTTAATACTCAAAGCAGGAGGAAGAAAGACTAGAGATTTTTAGGATTTCTGAAAACAAAGCAGATAGAATAGCAATGACAGATACACTAGGGGAGAAGTCCTACCTCAGAACCCACAAAGGTGGCTTAGTGAAGGGAGAAGATGTTTATCCAGGCAGAGTCTCAGAGATCTCCATGCTCAGTGTGGGCAGGTACAGGGTAAAGGAGTGAGCTGTGAGTAACAAAGGACTTCTCTTTTTAAACAACTTTTATAGACTCTATTTTAGTCACCTACTACCAGAGCCATGCCTGGTCATCATCATAGTACCCCATAGTGAATCACTCATGTAGACAAATTACACTTCCAAAAATGACACTGAACCTGGAGAATTTTATAGAGAAGATTTGTGTCGAATTTGTATAATGAAAAAAAAGTGGAATAATTGTCCAACCACAAAATTGTTCCACAGATTGATCAAGTAAATTGTGACATATCCATGCAATAAAATTGTATGCATCCAATTAATGTTACTATACTTATTGCTTAATTATTTGGATGCATATACTTAGATATACCCTATATCATATAACAACATACATATACATACGTAATAATGTACATATACATAAAAAGAGTTAAATAGAGAAAAAGAAAGACTGAAAGAAATAAAAGAATAGAAAAATATGAAATCTTGGAAAGCCCTTTTTAAGCATAATGCCAAAGGCAGAAGTCATTAAGTAAAATATTTATATAATAAACATGAAATATTTTAATAAATGTATGGAAAAAAGTTAGCAAAAAGGCAAGTCATTAACTAAGAGTAAAAGTTGCAATGAATATGGCAGGTCAATATCCTAAATCTGTAACAAGTTCCCACAAATCATAAATACCCCCAATCAAAGAAGAGGGCCAAGAACATGAATGGGGAACTTATTGAGGAGAATATGTAAATAGACAAAAAAAAAGTATAAATTAAAACAAAAATTAGATACCAATTAAATATCTTTTACAGACAAAAAATTTTAAAGGTAACTAACCTGGCTGAAAGTGCAGAGAAATGGGCACTCTTTTACACTGTCATCAGAGGTATAAATTTTACAATCTCTCTGGAACGCAATTTGACTGCATGAATACAAAAACTTTAAAACAAACATGCCCTTTAGTCAGAAATTCTAATTCTAAGACTTTCTACTAAGGAAATAATAAAATGTGGTTAAAATTTTATTACAAGAATATTTTCCATGGCATTATTTATAATATTGAAAAACTGAAAATACGAATTTTCAACTTGAGGAATTCCATTAAATACCCAGTGGCATAGTCATATAGTAGGATATAACGCATTCATTAAAATTATGTTGTAGAATAATCCCAAAGGGAAATGTATGCATCATATTGTAAGTAAAAATAACTGGCTTAAAAAACTGTAAATAAATATGATCCCAATTATGTAGTAGGGAAATGCAAGAAGAAAGATAGAAAGTACCACGAGAGTAAGGATTTTGTCTGTTTTATTCCCGTTAGAACTGAATCTGACATATAGTACCTCAAATAGTTCCTGAATGGGTGATTCTATACCAAAATGTTCATTGTGTTTGTCACTGGTTGATATATAATTATTCCAGAGATCATGTTTTCCCTTGGGACCTCTCATGCCCAAAATGTAAAATTGTGCACAACATCCTTAGCAATATCTCTGCGATAAACACAGCAAGTGTCATAGACTTGTCCCTTAATATTGGACATCAGAGATATATAGTCACTACAGAATTGAGTGGACCTGGGCACTTCAGGAACATCGTTTTGGGGGTTTGCTCGTTTTTTTAAAAAATATATGGAAGCTGTGCTTTAATACCATTTAGAAAGTTACGCTAATTGTCTAACTACACGCAAACACTACAGCCTAGTAGTTAAGAGTGCAGGCTGAGAGGACAGACTGACCAGAGTCTTTAGCTCTAAACAGCTCTGTGACCATGAGCAAGTTACCTCTTCAACCTCCAGCTCCCTCATCTGTAAAATGAGGAGTAATAATAGTATATACTTCACAGGGCTATTGTGAAGAGTAAACTTGACAATGTTTGGGACTTTTAGTAGGAACTGAAAATATGGTAGACAACATTACAATTTGAGAAGTTTTCTTTCCTGCAACTGGTGACTAGAGCAAAAGGCATTTTGTAACTCACATTCCTAATTCAGAGAACTTCCAGGTATTGGACTAGTCTCTTTTCGACCCATTTGACACTACGACTCCATCCCACCCCCATAAAAATGGATTTTGAGTGAAGGGTATGTTTAGCTGGGGTAGTGTTTGTGAATAGAAACATTCCGGTGGTTTCTTGTCCCAGAGAAAAGTCTCCTGAGGGTTAAAAAGTTTGAGGGTGTGTATAGCACCAACATTTTGTAGCCTGGTTAGAAATCACATTAGTCACCAGCTTCGTTAAATTGCTTTGCAATAACCACAAAGAAGCAAAAGCATTGGAGGGCAGTGGTGCACTGACTGGTATGGCCAGGCAGGAAGGGGATAGGTATACACCTCCCTTTAGTTTCAAGTTCCTGAAAAATACGGAAGATGGGTCTATCTTGAAAACTGGGGTCTTGGAGTGTAGATGATTGTGGAGGATGCAAACTGACGCGTTGGGTGAAAACTCTCATCAGCCAGACCTGTACGCCACCCACAGTCTATACTGAGGCTGCTGGCAGCGAGCCAGTTGGTGGATGGTGATGATGACCAAGAGGAAAGGACAGCAGCCTCTCCAGGGCCAGCCACATAAGACAACGTTGTTTCACTCTCAGAAGTGTATACAGGGAATGGGGAGGGACATTATTAAAGAGAAGACCCTCTACCTTCTCCCCGAAACTCTCAAACCACTGTAGGCTCAATTGCACTGATAGGAAGAAAATATCTAAGTCTTTCTAACTGAACTGACACTCTTAGTAATGAGAATTCTCTGATAAGCTTTGGAACTGGGTTAAAATGTGGTTAAGAAAAAGGAGAAATTAGCAGAACATATAAAACAATTATTGGAAAAATAAACCAATCGTACTTGTACATTAAGGACTTGAAATTCCTCATCTAATAAGTTGCAGTTATTGTCTGAAAATTAATCTTTTTTCTACCTAGTCACTTGTTTCTTTTCGTGAATTTCGTATTCATGTTATCTGTCCTCAAAACATTCATGTCTATTTTGTCCCTACATAATCCTAGTAATAGAACTTAAAATGTCTACGATATGGAAACATATGTCCTTGTTTGCTTCTTTGCTACTTTATCACAAATGTTTCCAAAAGAGCACATGTTTTTAATAACTTGCATGTTTCTCTTTGTATAATTGTAATATAGATCCTTTGTAAACATGTGAATTACAAAATAAAATAAAATAAAATAAAAGTCATCCATATTGCATTATCCAGATATAACCCTGTTAATATTTACTTTATAGTCTTCCGAACTTTTTAAGTCATGCATACATATGCGCATTTTAAAAATATAAAAGTGTGTCAAATTCTACAAACTATTTTGTAACCTGCTTTTTTCACTTTTAGCACTTAGCAGACCTAGTGTAGAGTGCTTGGTACATCAAAAGTTTTCAATGAATATTTGTCAAACAAATGAATGAACACATTTTTATGTCAAACATTTTTCTGTGGCATCCTTTTTTGTCACAATTGCATAGAATTCCACTGTGTGAATCATCATTCACACTGTATGATGTATCTACCCTATCATTCACACTGTAGCTGTATCTACCCAGGCCCTGGAGAGCTGAGGAGGAACAGGAGTGTGATGGACACGCAATCCCCCGTGCAGGCCCCATCAAGGGGGAACTGCTGCCCACCTGCTGGGAGTGCTGGCAGTTCTCAGCCCCATCGTCATCCCCCTTCAGGGATTGCCTCCACTACAGAAAGCCACCTTTCCAGGGAGACCCACAGCTAAGGACTGATTATGGAGAGGCCCAGTGCAGAACAATGGCGGCAGGCCATCGTCTGGCGTTCCCTGGGGCTGTGGGAAAGGGGTGCTGCCTGAGGCTGTCCTATCTGCATAGTAACTTGATGTCTTTCTGCCCAATCCTATTTCTTCTCTCTTCCGTGGGTGTTTAATCTCTAATAAACATACTGCACACGAAACTCTGTCTCAGAGTCAGATTCCTGAAAATCCTCGCCTGTTACAGAGCTGGCCCTGACTCACAAGAACTCCTGAGTCTATTAATTAAAGCATCCAGTAAATTCTAACATTACTGCCATTGTGCATTGCTAACACCGGGTGAAAAAACTATGGTGCATGTCTACCATGAGATGTTATGCAGCTATTAAAAAAAAATGTTTCTTTTGTTCAAATATTCTGTGTATGACACATGGTGCTGTGTATGACACATGGTGGCTCCAGAGGAAGGCAGGAAAGGGAAAAGAAGGGAAGGAAAAGAGAAGGGAGGGGAGGGGAGCATAGGGGTGGGAGGGGAGAGTGAGGGCGGAGGAAAAGAAGGAATTGGACATCATCAGAATTACCTGAGCCCCTTCTCTATGCCTGAATTTCTTCCAATCTGTCTGTTTCCAGATCTCTGGCCCCTTACCGGTCTTTGGATCACCTCAGTGTGAGCATTACTTGGACAATTACCATGCCCATTAATGTAACATATGCAAGTTATAAAAACTGAAACTAGATAAACATGAACCAGCATGACTATGAGCAGTCAAAACAATAGATAGGTCTTTTAATGCACAAAAGCAGAATAAAAGATCGAATCAGACCAAAATAAAAACAAAAGCTCTGAGAGTATGTTCGAGGGAAGCTCAGTCGTAGGAGGAACCATTCCAGAGGCGTGATGAGCTGAGCCCTGTCGAGTTGCTTCCATCTGTCAGAATCACACATTCCAAAGCTGCAGAAACCTATTGAACAAAAACTTCCTGTTACTTCTGACTTTGGGAGATAGGCTCAGGCAGCAGGAGGCTCAGCCCCTGTGAGAAGCCTCCTCCCAATCACAGGTCACCCTTCCCTTGTCCTGAAGGTTCAAAGAATTGCTGCAGGTTAGAAAAGCATCTCAGGCTAGCTTGGCTTGCACAGTGGGCCAGCACAGCACCAGGAGGAGGAGGACAGGACACCGTGAGTAGACTTGATTTCACTCTGCAACTAGGCTCTCAGTGTTGCTTTCTGGGGAGGGGAGCTAGCAATCTGGAAGGAAAAAGGAGAGAAGTTAAGTTCCTGATGAATTTCATTTCTTTCCTTTTCTTTTCTTTTTTTTTTTTTTTTATAATTTAGGACATTGTGACTGTACTTTAAACTATACAAATTGATTTTTGAAACACTTCGATATTGTCCAGTTCTCAGAACTGAGATTAACCTTCTTCTGGGGTATTATTCAACTATCTTGATTTCAACCTCAAATTTTCTTCTCATGGAAAGACCAAGAAAAATGTAAGAACCCTGAGAAAAACTCTATCTCCTGATAAATCTCAGAGACACATTTGTGGATCCCCAGTTTTCTTGTGAAGTCAGAAAAGCAAAAGAAATTTTAAGGAAACCAATCATATTCTTTCTTAATAATCTGTATCTTACCCTAGCAGAAAGGAAGTTTTCTGGTCTCCTGATAAGAAATCATTTGGTCCTGTCAACTCGTAAAGGGATTTGTGAGGCAATTTACACAGGTTACTTTTCTGCAAACAGTTCTGCTTAATAAATGTGTCAGTTGAAATAAGTCAACAAATTAGCTTTATCTATACAATATCATTTTTACATAGTTTATTTTTACTCTTCACCAATTAGTTGATCCACCAGGATCTGCAGGTCCTAAGTGTATTTTTTGTTCTAATAACATTTTTGCACATAACACAAATTAAGTTTTGAATAATGCTAACATTATTTTATGTTTATGTTTTTAAGTTAAAAACCCCAATTATAACCAGCATTAAAGATTTTTCTGACTTTTGAGTTTTCATTAATTGTAATGTCTTTTTTATATCAAAGACAATGTTTATTGACCATTTCTTGCCTGAAAAGAGTTGCTAAGCAGAAGAAGGAACCTAGAGTTTTATATATATACATATTTCAGTTATATATATAACTTGGGTTATACAGTTTTCAAACTTGGTGAAGAAATATTTTTTCTTTTGATTATCTCTTCTCAATGAGGAGAAAATTTTCTTTTTTTTCTTTTTTTCTGCTATAATAGGCTTAAAAATTTTCTTTAACTACCTGGAAAGAATCATAAACTTTTAGGTCCAAAGGGGACCTTGGATATCATCTTAGTCAAGAAAAACAGAAATGAAATCTCAGAATTTCTTTTTTGATCTCTCCTCTTATATACGTACCCAGAGCAAACACTAATTAGCCCTAGAATATGCTGTACCCTTCTGCTGGAATCTCGGCCTCTTGGCCATGCAGGCTTCCCACATCCCTGAAGGGCTACTGTTTCCTAACTGGGACAGAGACAAAATGCGTGAGGACATACCCTAATCTCACATCCTCCAAGGATTCTCCATGGGATTCCTGCCCTGGGGCTGGGCATCCTACCGGCAAGGCCCATTCCTGTGATCTCCACTTGGCTGAGAGTACCTGAGCCCTTGCTCATCTTAGCCTGTGATTTCAGGTGGGTGGATGACTCTGAGATCATCTCAGCAAGCATCAGTAGTCTAGAGCAGTGCTGCCCCTTAGAATTTTCTGCGAGGATGGAAATGTTCTATGCATCAGCCACTAACCACATGTGGCTATTGAGCACTTGGTATGTGCCTAGCACAACTAAAGGATTGAATTCTTATTTAATTGGACTAATTTGAATTAAATAGCTACTTGCATCTACTAGCTACCGTTTTCATCAGAGCAGGTTTGGAGCTTTAAATGGGTGCTGTGATCTATGGGTAACATCTCCATGGAAACAAGTTCTTCTTTTCATCATTTCTGGGACTTATCCTACCCTAAATTTAAGTAGACCAGTAATTGTCCTCATGGGGAAAACTTCCACACCCATCTTTATTCTCACCTCTAACTCTACAACTGTCTACTTTTGTTCTAGGTTTCAGGGTCAGGGCTAAGGCAACAGTATATTGTATTTCTTCTTTCTTTCTTTCACTTTCTTTTGTTATTCCAAATTTCTCTAACATGAGCTAGAGCTTGTGGTGTGGTTTGCGTTGCTTAGTATAACAAACTTGGATGCGGAAAAGAGGTAATGAACTTGAAAAATAAATGATCTCATGCTTGTTGGGTGAATCTCACTTCTTTTTTTCTTCTTTGAAAATTGGTTTGTTTAGTGAGCACTCAATGGTTTTTAGGTCTATTCAATTTGTCTGGAAACATCAATACTCTGAATATGAATAATATTTATAAGAAAACAAAGTGAATGAAGCATAAGTAAAAAAAGAAAAAGAAAGAAAACTCCAGTCTTTTAAAAAATCGGCACTCCTCAGCCAAAGAACTCCCAGTATGTAGAACAATATGAGTAAATCATCATGGTGCCAGGCCTCTGGGCAGTTTTCCACAGGGCGGGGCTCACAGAGTCTGTTTCTTACATGGAAACATTTTGAGGGAAGCTGTGCAGTTTCGGTCAGGGGCAATAGTGTTTCTGAAGTGGACAGCTGAAATTCTGCCCTCTACCAATCCTACTTTTTAATCCCATGTCATTTGCATCCTTTTTAGCCCCACAAGGTTAAGAAAAAATCTAGTACATGGGAGGAAAGCATGACTTAAATAACACAAGAAAGTTTCAGTAGACTCCATACTAAAGTAGCTCATACATACTGGGAGCTAAAAGGAAAAGGAAGAGGGCACGACATATCATATTATCAGGAGTCAGTCTCTATCCCCACATCATGAGTTAAAAGCTTTGTATTTTTAGGGTCTCTTTTCTTCTCCCTTTGGAAATATGGGAATGAGATCTGAGCCCATCATTCTCAATGAGGCATTGACATAGATGGTTCATGAGACTCAACGCAACCCTTTTACATGTAGTATTTGTATTCTAATCTGGAGCAGTAAAAGAGTAATTCCCTAGTGTGGGATTTTGGAAATTAAGGTAAAGAGTAAGGAAAACTTTGAATGGAGGGCGAGAGTGAAAGGCTCTCTCCTTGCCAGCTTTGTTATGTGACTTCCCTTGTGGCTTAACTTGTAAGAGAAAAGGGCAGGTTCAAGGGCAGGGTGTTGGGAGTTTCTCTTAATTTTAAAGAAATATAAAGGGAGGAGGTATCTCCCTACCCTAAAAGGAAGGATTAACAACAAATTTAATATAAGTCTTAAAGGTCAGGAGATCAGGACTCAAATCTTGACTCTGCAATGACAAATCGATGGTCTTTGAGCAAGTCAGTGCCCCTCTAGGAGCCTTAATTTCCTCATCTGCACAATGAAGGGGCTGACTACCAAGCCTCTAAGTTTGTAGTCAGAGCTGATATTCTATCATGATATGAATGAGCACATGACCAATAATGGACCTAGGATAAATAGACGCCTTACTTTCTCCCTAATCATGTACCTTCTTAGTAAGACAAAAACTATCCAAAGTGTAGACATCAACTTCTAGGTGTTTCACTCATCAAATAATTTGCAAGTTTATAATTTTGTTTCTTTACTGCAATTGTTTGTCAAATTGACTTTTTTTAATGTACAGCAACCTATTCCTTCGTGGTTTCAGAATGACTCATTAGACAAACTTGGGCGAAGAAAAGAGGTAACAAAGTATGAGGCTGGATTGCCATGGCAAAGGCTAGTAGGGAAAAAAAGCTATACACACATATCCACCAAACAGGATATGATTTGAGCTGCCCTGAGGAGCTGTTTGCTTAGCGTAAAAAGAGGAAGGTGGGAAAGAAAGGATAATTCCGAGCAAGATTACTTGGAAAAAACAAGGAGTTTTTCAGCTGAAATTCAGAGGATGGTAAAGAATTCAATAAGCAGAAATGAGAGAAGGGATCCCAAAAGAAAAGACAACATAAGCACAACCTGGACGCATAATCAGGACACTCAGGGGAACAGAGGAAGATGAGGAGCAGGGCATTTGAAACCTTGGTAGTACTGTCTTGAATACAAGCTAAGGAGCTTGTGCTTTATCTCTCAGATTGTCCAACCCATCTGCCGTGGGCTAAAAGGAGAATGGAATGGTTGGGTCTGGACAAACATTATAGATACAGGCAAAGAGAAGACATTAGTCTGTCTCCAAGAGATGAAAAGTCAAAAAGTTTTCAAATTCAAGTGCAATGGAGTTGAACTAGAGAAATCTAGATTTGAAGAGATCAGTCAACAAGAGAGAATGGGTAGACAAGTGGAATCATCTGGCAATAGGAAATGAGAAGGCTTCAGTGGCAGAGCTTGTGGGTGGAGCATGAGCTATATAGGGCTCTCCTTTGAATGGAGGCTACAGGGAGCTTTTGTGGGTGTTTAAGCAGGGAAGTGATACAAAATTAGAGCTGTGTTTAAGGACAGTGGATCTCAAGACTGATTAAGTGGCTGGCACTTAGAAGGCTTGTTTATCTTGTAAAACACCACAAAGTAGTGACATATTAAATTTAAAATAATTAAGTAGATCATTTTGGCCTAAATTTATACTATAAATTAGATTCTAGCTGGAGAAGTGGTAGCAAGCACTCAAGGTTTAAGAAAAATTTGTGAGAGAAAAATGCTTAAAATTATAAATTTTGACCATTAAT